GAGACAGCAGTGTGTGAGAGACAGCAGAGTGTGAGAGACAGAAGTGTGTGAGAGACAGTAGTGTGTGAGAGAACAGCAGAGTGTGAGAGACAGAAGTGTGTGAGAGACAGTAGTGTGTGAGAGACAGCAGTGTGTGTGAGAGACAGCAGTGTGTGAGAGACAGCAGTGTGTGTGAGAGACAGCAGTGTGTGAGAGACAGTAGTGTGTGAGAGACAGCAGTGTGTGTGAGAGACAGCAGTGTGTGAGAGACAGTAGTGTGTGAGAGACAGCAGTGTGTGTGAGAGACAGCAGTGTGTGAGAGACAGTAGTGTGTGAGAGACAGCAGAGTGTGAGAGACAGAAGTGTGTGAGAGACAGTAGTGTGTGAGAGACAGCAGTGTGTGAGAGACAGCAGAGTGTGAGAGACAGAAGTGTGTGAGAGACAGTAGTGTGTGAGAGACAGTAGTGTGTGAGAGACAGCAGTGTGTGAGAGGCAGCAGTGTGTGAGAGACAGAAGTGTGTGAGAGACAGTAGTGTGTGAGAGACAGTAGTGTGTGAGAGACAGCAGTGTGTGAGAGACAGCAGTGTGTGAGAGACAGCAGTGTGTGTGAGAGACAGCAGTGTGTGAGAGACAGCAGTGTGTGAGAGACAGTAGTGTGTGAGAGACAGCAGAGTGTGAGAGACAGAAGTGTGTGAGAGACAGTAGTGTGTGAGAGACAGTAGTGTGTGAGAGACAGCAGTGTGTGAGAGACAGAAGTGTGTGAGAGACAGTAGTGTGTGAGAGACAGCAGTGTGTGAGAGACAGTAGTGTGTGAGAGACAGTAGTGTGTGAGAGACAGAAGTGTGTGAGAGACAGTAGTGTGTGAGAGACAGTAGTGTGTGAGAGACAGTAGTGTGTGAGAGACAGAAGTGTGTGAGAGACAGTAGTGTGTGAGAGACAGTAGTGTGTGAGAGACAGTAGTGTGTGAGAGACAGAAGTGTGTGAGAGACAGTAGTGTGTGAGAGACAGTAGTGTGTGAGAGACAGTAGTGTGTGAGAGGCAGCAGTGTGTGAGAGACAGAAGTGTGTGAGAGACAGCAGAGTGTGAGAGACAGCAGTGTGTGAGAGACAGCAGTGTGTGAGAGACAGCAGTGTGTGAGAGACAGCAGTGTGTGAGAGACAGAAGTGTGTGAGAGACAGTAGTGTGTGAGAGACAGCAGTGTGTGAGAGACAGCAGAGTGTGAGAGACAGAAGTGTGTGAGAGACAGTAGTGTGTGAGAGACAGTAGTGTGTGAGAGACAGCAGAGTGTGAGAGACAGAAGTGTGTGAGAGACAGTAGTGTGTGAGAGACAGCAGAGTGTGAGAGACAGCAGTGTGTGAGAGACAGCAGTGTGTGAGAGACAGCAGTGTGTGAGAGACAGCAGTGTGTGAGAGACAGAAGTGTGTGAGAGACAGTAGTGTGTGAGAGACAGCAGTGTGTGAGAGACAGCAGAGTGTGAGAGACAGAAGTGTGTGAGAGACAGTAGTGTGTGAGAGACAGCAGTGTGTGAGAGACAGCAGTGTGTGAGAGACAGAAGTGTGTGGGAGACAGCAGTGTGTGAGAGACAGCAGTGTGTGAGAGACAGAAGTGTGTGGGAGACAGCAGTGTGTGAGAGACAGCAGTGTGTGAGAGACAGTAGTGTGTGAGAGACAACAGTGTGTGAGAGACAGCAGTGTGTGAGAGACAGAAGTGTGTGGGAGACAGCAGTGTGTGAGAGACAGCAGTGTGTGAGAGACAGTAGTGTGTGAGAGACAGCAGTGTGTGAGAGACAGCAGTGTGTGAGAGACAGCAGTGTGTGAGAGACAGCAGTGTGTGAGAGGCAGCAGTGTGTGAGAGACAGCAGTGTGTGAGAGACAGCAGTGTGTGAGAGACAGCAGTGTGTGAGAGACAGCAGTGTGTGAGAGACAGCAGTGTGTGAGAGACAGCAGTGTGTGAGAGGCAGCAGTGTGTGAGAGACAGCAGTGTGTGAGAGACAGCAGTGTGTGAGAGACAGCAGTGTGTGAGAGGCAGCAGTGTGTGAGAGACAGCAGTGTGTGAGAGACAGCAGTGTGTGAGAGACAGCAGTGTGTGAGAGACAGCAGTGTGTGAGAGACAGCAGTGTGTGAGAGACAGCAGTGTGTGAGAGACAGCAGTGTGTGAGAGACAGCAGTGTGTGAGAGGCAGCAGTGTGTGAGAGACAGCAGTGTGTGAGAGACAGCAGTGTGTGAGAGGCAGCAGTGTGTGAGAGACAGCAGTGTGTGAGAGAACAGCAGTGTGTGAGAGACAGCAGTGTGTGAGAGACAGCAGTGTGTGAGAGACAGCAGTGTGTGAGAGACAGCAGTGTGTGAGAGACAACAGTGTGTGAGAGACAGACTTAGACACAGCAATATAATCCTCGTTGTTGTACGAAGTTATTAACGTGAAGGAATTGAGTAATAATGTAACAGAGAGTGTGCAACGAGCCTCGTTAATCATGCAATATGTCCGTTATAACCAGCCTCGTTAGTCATGCAAGATGTCCGTTATAACTAGCCTTGTTAATCATGCAAGATGTCCGTTACAACCAGCCTCGTTAATCATGCAAGATGTCCGTTATAACCAGCCTCGTTAATCATGCAGTCCGTAATAACCAGCCTCGTTAATCATGCAAGATGTCCGTAATAACTAGCCTCGTTAATCATGCAAGATGTCCGTAATAACTAGCCTCGTTAATCATGCAAGATGTCCGTTATAACCAGCCTCGTTAATCATGCAGTCCAGAATAACCAGCCTCCTTAATCATGCAGTCCGTAATGACCAGCTTCGTTAATCATGCAAGATGCCCGTAATAACCAGCCTCGTTGGTCATACCAAATGTTCGTAATAACCAGCCTCGTTAATCGTGCAAGATGTCCGCGATCATTCACTTTAACCCGGGGGAGTCTGTCCAGTATAACTGGTATGAGAGAGAGAGAGAGAGATGCATACGTAGATAGATAGATAGATAGATAGACAAATAGATAAAACAATCGTTCTCCATTAATAACCTGTCAAGATAAATGGAGACAGTGGAAAAAAAATGAAAGACAAGGAAAGTAAATTGATATTTTTTTGGGTCCGAGAATAAATTTGTCACCGAGCACAGGAAGACTGTTGGTGTGTTTTATGCCGCTTCCTGCAGGCAGGGTGGCACGCAGGCAGGGTGGCAGGCAGGCAGGCAGGGTGGCAGGCAGGAAGGCAGGGTGGCAGGCATGCAGGGTGACAGGCAGGGTGGAAGGGAGGCAGGCTGGCAGACAGACTGGCAGGCAGGCAGACTGGCAGGCAGGCAGGCAGGCAGGCAGGGTGGCAGGCATGCAGGGTGACAGGCAGGGTGGCAGGCAGGCACGGTGGCAGGCAAGCAGGCAGGGTGTCAGGCAGGCAGGGTGGCAGGAAGGCAGGGTGGCAGGCATGCAGGGTGACAGGCAGGGTGGCAGGGAGGCAGGCTGGCAGACAGACTGGCAGCCAGGCAGACTGGCAGGCAGGCAGGATGGTAGACAGGGTGGGAGGAAGGCAGGGTGGCAGGCATGCAGGGTAACAGGCAGGGTGGCAGACAGGCTGGCAGGCAGGCAGGGTGCCAGGCAGGGTTGCAGGCAGGCTGAGAGGCAAGGTGACAAACAGGCTGGCAAACAGGCAGTGTGGCAGGCAGGTTGACAGGCACGGTGACAGGCAGGCAGACAGGCAGGGTGGCAGGCAAAGTGACAGGCAGGCAGACAGGCAAGGTGGCAGGGTGGCTTTCTTCAGGTAGGGTGTCAGGCAAAGTAGCCTTGTGCAGGCATGCAGGGAAGGCAGGCAAGGGAGCCCTGTGCAGGCAGGCAGGGAGGGCAGGCAAGAAAGCTTCCTGTAGGGAGGGAGCCAGGGCAGGCAAGGGAAAGGGGGGGTAACGGGAGGGAGGAAGGGAAGGCAGGGAGGAACGAGTGAAGGAGTGAAGGAAGAGGTGAAAGCAGGCAGCCAGGGTGTTAATGAAGGAACGAAAGAACATTATTGTGACACAAACTAATAATTAACATGTCTGTGCATGTACTGGCACCCATTCAAAACTTCCCTCCGGAAATTTTAATGCATAGATTGAAAAATTTTATGGATGAAAAAATAAAATTTCCCAAAAAAAAGTTTGACCAGTTTCTGGCAGGAACAATTATGGTATAGAGAAGTCTGGTGGTGGACCCAATGGCGGGGGCGTTGACCCCCGGAATACCCTCCAGGTAGACACCAGGTGTAGAGTTTTAATTGGTGTCATTGTGTTTGATAGGCCTAAATGAAATTATTATAAAGCAGATTTTTTTGCTATTGCAATTAAAAAATCCTGAAATTTACTAACAAAAGTTATTAATAATTTCCCTCTTGGGGCTGCCTTTTACATTTATTATTCTGTGTCCTACTTTATGTAAACTGGGAGGCCCTCTGCTACCCTGTCTCATATTTGAAGGGTGGAAAGGGTGGGTGGGAAGGAAAGGGTGGGAAGGGTGGTTGGGTGGGAGGGGGTTTGGGTAGGAGGGGTGGGAAGGGTGGGTGTTTGTTAGGGGTGGGAATTAAGGGTGGGTGTTTGTTAGGGGTGGGAATTAAGGGTGGGTGTTTGTTAGGGGTGGGAATTAAGGGTAGGTGTTTGTTACGGGTGGGAATTAAGGGTGGGTGTTTGTTAGGGGTGGGAATTACGGTTGGGTGTTTGTTACGGGTGGGAATTAAGGGTAGGTGTTTGTTAGGGGTGGGAATTAAGGGTGGGTGTTTGTTAGGGTGGGAATTAAGGGTAGGTGTTTGTTACGGGTGTGAATTAAGGGTGGGTGTTTGTTAGGGGTGGGAATTACGGGTGGGTGTTTGTTAGGGGTGGGAATTACGGGTGGGTGTTTGTTACGGGTGGGAATTAAGGGTAGGTGTTTGTTAGGGGTGGGAATTAAGGGTGGGTGTTTGTTAGGGGTGGGATTTAAGGGTGGGTGGTGGACTGACCAGTGCCTCATATTTGTGAGAGAAAGTGGCTGGTGTCACCACACAAAATTACTCAGAGAGAATTTGTCCTCAATTCTTCTGTTTCTACTCTTGCAACATTGCATAGCTCCTGATGACGCACGGAGACGTCGTGTGAAAGTACATGAGCTGAAGACTGATCTCAAAATGTATCGAATACCCGGTGTTTATATCTTCTGAAAATAATTAGAGCTTTTTTACAGATATTTTACAGATATTTTACAGATGTTTATATTAAGTGCCATGTAAGAATTATTTCTTCTTTTTTTTTTTTTTAAATAATATCACGTAAAACTGGAAAACAAATATTTTAGAAAAATGGAAATTACATTGTGAAACAAAAAAATATGGGAGAAAGTAAGTTGAGGTGCCTAAAGGTGGGTAGATTGTGTTTACTAAAATTAATTAGCACTTCCTGGGCTGTTTGTGTTTACCATCAACAATTAGCCCTTCGTGAGCCGTGTTTAGCAAAATGAATTAACACTTTATTGCCAAGCTAATTTATAGTAACTATTCTCACCCACAGGGCGTTCCCCTGCGGAACAACATGACGCAGCAGGTGCAGGTGAGCCGAGACACCTTGCTGTTGAAGGCAGTGACTAGGAACTCCAGTGGAACCTACACCTGTGCTGCGGCCAACAGTGAGGGCGCTAGCACCTCCAATCCTCTCATCTTGGCTGTCAAGTGTGAGTATACTTCTTCAGTGGTATACTTCGCTAGACAGGGTATATTAATCCAGTGGTATACCTCAGCAGTTTAAGTATACAACTTCAGTTGGGCGAGAATTTTATACTAGTGATATTCTCAGTGTGAGTATTCTGTTTCAGTGGTATCATTCAGCAGTGTGAATGTATTTCTTTAGTGTTATACGTCAGTAGTGTAAGTACACGACGTCTGGCATTAATTTCATCACTTGTAATAAAAGGAAGAGAGAGAGAGAGAGAGAGAAAGAAAGAGAGAGAGAGAGTGGAGGAGAGAGTGGATAAGGTATAGAGAGCCACTAGGTCATTGGTGCCCCTTGGCTTGGTGGTAAAGCTCTCTCTTCACACGGCGAGGGTCTGGGTTCGATTCCCAGCCAGGGTAAAAGACATTGGGCGTGTTTCTTTACACCGGTTGTCTATGTTCACCCATCAGTTAAATGGGCACCTATGTGTTAGTGGACTGGTGTGGGTCGCATCCTGGGACAAAACTGACCTAATTTGCAGAAAATTTTCAGCATAACAAGTCATAGATGTCAGCTACGGTCTGTAAACCTTGTACATGTACTTGTAGTAAATAAATAAATATATTATTATTATTATTATTATTATTATTATTATTATTATTATTATTATTATTATTATTATTACTATTATTATTATTATATTATTATTATTATTATTATTATTATTATTATTATTATTATTATTATGAAGACAGAAAGCATAATGATACTGACAATTTGGATGAACGGACACAAGTGTATATACTTTCGTTCTTTCAACCAGCAGTGATGATGGTCCAAGACCAACTATTAAAAGGCCTCAGCTTCAACACTTCAGTGAAAAAAAAAATCTAGAAAAAATAAACTGCAACATATATATATATATATATATATATATATATATATATATATTATATATATATATATATATATATATATATATATATATAAAGTAAAGTAGTGCAAACCACTCACTATTGTCTAATGAACTCACACAACACTGTTGGATGTCAAAGCCCCTAGCACCCAAAACCTCCTTTACTCCCTCCTTCCATCCTTTCCTGGAACGACTTTCCCTCCCTATCCTTCCCTCCACCCCAAGACTTATCCTATTGTTTCTCCATCCTCTCTTAATACCCAAACCGCTTCACCAACACTTCCTTAACCCTCTGAATAATACTTTTAATAACTCCCCAACTTCTAATCTCCATAATGTCATCTCCCCATTAACACCAATAACATTCTCTCCCCAGAACAAATTAATCTCCCACGAAATCCCATTATTGCGCCTGCTTCTATTACCCTCATTAATAATTCATGTCTATTTTCTTCTCTTCCATTATTCAGGCCTTGTGATTGCCCATTAATTCTCGTGGTTTACTGTCGTTCACAGTTCCTCCTACGTGCAGAGATGGACAGCAGACTGTGTACGGCACTGCAAGGCACGAGCAACTTCAAGTTCCCTGCCATGTACAGGCCTACCCTGAGCCTTTCTCATTCAGGTCAGTGTCTACCCCTTTCTCTCGCGTCCACTTTGTCTCATGTCTACTTTCTCTCATATCCACTTTTTCTCATGTCCACTTTCGCTCTTGCAACCTTTCCTTCGTTTACCCTATTTTGTGCAATCCATGTGTTTTGCGCCATTTGTCGTGCATGTATACCCTGTTCAACTACTGTTATGTGCTCCCTTTGTCATGTAACACTGTCATGTGTACTCCTTGTACATCCCTGTCATGTGCTCTCCTTGTGCATTCTATGTCAAGTGTTCTACTTTGATGAACGAGACTGATGAACTAGACCTTGATTAACACTACTTAGATGAACATGACTTTGGTGAACAAAAAGTTGATGAACGCGGTTTTATGAAAACGTTTTGATGAGCACGACCTTGATGAACACAGCTGATGAACACAACTATACAAAATCTGATTTAACTGAAACGAACTTTGATGAACCTGAATTTAATGAATGTTACTATGATGAACAAAACTTCATGTGAACAAGAATTTCATTTCCAATGCTCATATGAACACTGTTCATAAGCACGATTTTCACGAACATGACTTTGACGAATATAACCTTAATAAAGACGATAATGATGAACTTGAGTTGAATGAACATGAGTTTGACGACTCAAGTTGCAATGAATGAAAGAAGAATGGACAGAGAGTCGAACCGTGATGCTGACTGGTAGCAGGTCCAGTGTTGAACCACTGAGCTACGAAGCTTACAATAGGAAAGCCTCACAGAGAGCACGTATGTGATATGTCTGTGTCAGCGGCCACAATCTGTGACCCAAGTATCCTCCTCCACATCGTGACTTATCGCGGATTTCTAGGCTGTATTTCTTTATGTGGTATGAGAGTAGATTTCCTAATCGAAGTCTAGATAGCAGAACAGCTGTTCGGGATGTAATCCACCAGTCTGCTAGATTTCTTACATTCTTTCTCAGTCAATAAGTTTTTGAAGAACGATAATAGGTGTTGTCATCTAGGAGATGAACGTTCAGGAAAAAGACACAAGTGTTCCGATAATCAGATGAACACTATAACACTATACTGACGAAGTCAATAACGAATAACAGCCACAGGTCCGCATTTAGAGCAAACCCACAAGCTAAACGTGGAAGTAGACGATGTATCGAGTCTTCATGGTCTATTACCATCTCTTGACTGCATAACTGTCCAGGACTTCATAACTGTCCAGTATGTCATTTCTGTCCAGAACTTCAAAACTGTCCAGGACTTCGTTACCATCCATGATTTCATAAATGTCTTGATTAGTTTAAGATTCAGTATGCGGGTTATTAACAACTGGTATTGTTGCTGTTGTTCGCTAGGTGGGCAGTGAACACGTCAACAGGAGTGGTGGACGTGGCTCTCAACCTCACCCGTAGCACAGGTAGTACCTCGGTCGTCAGCTACACACCTCAGACTCACCACGACTTCGGTCACCTTCTGTGCTGGGCTGTCAACGACCTGGGCGTCCAGCACCAGCCTTGTGTCTTCCAGGTCATACCTGCAGGTGAGTGTTTCCCGCAGAACTACACCATTGAGTACATGGCTCTTGTAATTGACAGTGAGTGTAGCAGTACATGGGCTATACATGTACGTATACAAGCATTGTTCATTGGAGTACATGAATCATACACGTGAGAGTACGTAAAGCAGATACATGGCTAGTACGAGAGTAGTAGAACATTTTTTAAGCCTTTTGAAATCACTTACCAAAAGAACATTTACATAGTTAAAACTTTCATAAGGGAAGCCATTTATTGAACAAAAATATGTAAAAATTACCTGCTTCATAAAAAATAAATCCGTTTTAAAGAATATATTTTTGCAAAAAACATACAACAAGTTACTTTACAAAAATATATGAGTAGAATCATGCTGATAAAGCGCCTTCATAGCTAGTTGTTAAAGTCACAAGTGAAAAACTTTTGTAGTAAGTAGCAGCATTGATAATACACCTCCATATACATACATACATACACCTCCATACACATATATACACATACATACATACATTACACCTCCATACACATATATACACATACATACATACATACATACAACCTCCATACACACTATACACATACACATACATGACACATAATACATAACAACATATACATACATACATACATAATACATACACCTCCATACACATACATCACACACATATCCATACAACATACATAATACACCTCCATACACCATAACATGCAATACACATGCATACATACATCATCACATACAACATACATAACATACATACATACACCTCCATACACCTCCACATAACACCTTACACCTACATACTACACTTCACACACACACATATATGAGTAAAAACATACATAGTGTTACATGAATGTGCTTATAAATGGTTCAGAGAACCGACAAGTTGATAAATTAAACACATGTGCAACTCTTGAGTATCTTTGTTGAGGAAACGTTTCGCCACACAGTGGCTTCATCAGTTCATACAAAGGAGAATGGTGAAGAACAGGAGGAGTTTGAGGTAATCAGTCCCTCAACCTTTTCAAGTTTGATGGACTAACTGATGGACCAACTTTTCTGTACTGGACTGAAGAAACCTACTGTGTAGGCGAAACGTTTAGAAATAAAGATATCGAACTGTTGCATGTGTGTCTTACCTAACAACCTGTCCGTATTTTATACCATTTTAATATTCATATATATAATACACACAGCTCACGTGTCTATGCATGAATTTAGATACGTGGGCATGTGTGTAATTATATATATATATATATATATATATATATATTATATATATATATTATATATATATAATATATTATATATATATTACTGTATGGATCTTAACATCAACAGACGTACTAGTTAGTCAGGTAATTGCTTTCCTTAGCCAACCAAGTCATCTTGCAAGAAGTGAATTGGGACCGAAAATTCCGCTAATACGTCGTATTGTCGTACCCGGCTGGGAAAAAAGACTTCAACCAGACTCTGTATCTGGAAATTGCGGCAGGCGAGCCAAGGAGGAGTTGTGGAAGCTTCGTCACCTATTGTTCTTTTCATCAGGGTGTGATAACCCACTCAGTTCACTTATGGTGATATGACACCATTTTTCATTCATTCAAAAGGAATCACTTTATATAACCACGATACATTAATGGTGAATTAATAGGATAATTTTAAATACTCTTCTCATTCACTGTGTCGTGATGACATACATCGATAGTCTATATCAGGTTTTACAGTGAACTATAACCATTTGGTTCTTCATTCGTAGCATATATATTCCGATGTGTGTTTTGTAGTCCCGTCAGCTATCAAACATAGAATTAACTCCGCACCACAAGTATGACAACCCTGACTGACCGAGTTTGTGTCAAGGGTTCCAGAAACCCCTTGGATAGAGGCTGGCAACACCACCCTGGACGATAAAGGGCCAGGGGTGTCTCCCAAGGGTTCAGACCTTGTACAATTCTTCCATAACGCCGGCGAGTGAAACACCGTGGACGAATCTATCAGAGGGATTACCCAATTGTAACTCACAAAGGGAACACTTTATGTACACAGAGTGTCATAGTGAAGTGGGGTAGTAAATTTATCCCTTACATGGTGTTGCCACCCAGGATAACCCTGAACTTTGACTCCATCTTTCACTAAGTACGAGCTGATGATGTCTAGTTTCCTCTATAATGCGGTGGTGTATCGGCTAATACCTGTATTCTCTCCAGAAAATACAGTTTTAGGTAAAATGCGATGAGAGGTTTTACCCTCCCACCGGTGTTATTTATATTTCCACTTGTAGGCCTGTGTCACTGTCCACTCATTAGGCATGTCACTTCAGCCTCGTTTGTTCATCATCATCTAGTGACACAGTTTAGAAATTTTATTATTTTAAGAATTCCGCCCTTGTGTTTAATAATACTGGAGCACAAGTGGAGTAGGAATATTTTAACACCAGTTACTAAAGCATAGATAACAGCGGAAACAAAGGTGGGGATAAATCAGGGTGACCTGACTGCACCAATGATGACCACCACCGGCAAGAAACAAACTCTTAAAATGGGCACGTAAGTTCCCCAGTCTGATAATAACATGTTCAGTTTTCCACTATAATCTACCTTGTCCATAATTATTATCACATTCGCTTTATCTGCTTTCGTAAGGTGAAGTCCAGGATCTTTCCTTGATGGTATAACCTAACAAATCTTTGATGAGGTCTGAGCTGTACTCAGACCTCTACAACAAAATATGATAGTAATTATGGACAAGGTAGATTATAGTGGAAAACTGAACATGTTATTATCAGACTGGGGAACTTACGTGCCCATTAAGAGTTTGTTTCTTGCCGGTGGTGGTCATCATTGGTGCAGTCAGGTCACCCTGATTTATCCCCACCTTTGTTTCCGCTGTTATCTATGCTTTAGTAACTGGTGTTAAAATATTCCTACTCTACTTGTGCTCCAGTAACTGGTGTTGGAGCCTCCCCCCTCCTCGGCTCTCTCCAGCGGCACCAATATTCATCACCACGACATTCATAATCACACTGCTATACTCACCATTACATACTACTAAACTCGTCATCACATGCCACAACTCATTATCACACACCGCAACACCATCACACACCACAACATTCACCATCACGCACCATAATACAAACTATCACATACCTCAACATTCACCATCACACACCACAACACTCACTCTCACACACCACAATATTCACCATCACATACCTCAACATTCACCATCACACACCGCAACACTACCACACACACTGTAACACTCACCATCGCATACCTCAACGTTCACCATCACACTCCACTACACTCACCATCACACACCTCAACACACCATCACACAGTGTTTATATCCTGCAGGCTAAAGATTGGTGTGGAGTACCTAATGACAGTGACTGCAGCCAACTCTCGTGGTTCCAGTCCACCTCTCACCATCACATATACTGCCACTGCCGCCTCAGCCGACAAGGTAGTGTCTCCACACTCCCATACATCCCTGCTCACCATCACGCCCTTCCTTGTGTTGCTGGTAGGCGTAATGGCAGCAGTGTCGGCGTGCGCGGGCGTTGCTGTTATTCTAGCCAGGAGGGAAAGACGCAGGAAAACGAACGCCAAGATTGTGTATGACGGCCAGCTGGCTGACGCTCATGACAACCACGACGTACACACCATCCTCTGTGTAGATAAAGGTGAACTACGCTCTGCTACCTTCATCCTCTGTGACTATGATGGTAAACCACGCTACACTAGCTTCATCTTCCATCTTCACTGTTTTTGTTCAATTTTCATCTAATCTTGAATGGAGTAAGTACACCATCTTCTATATTACAATCTTAAACCTGACACTTTTGCATGACACACACCTCACACACTAATATCTATAGATCAACCTCTCTCACATATTTATTAAAATGGCTAGCCACACCTTGTCGACACAGTCTTTTTTCCCTTCTAAGCGACCTTCACTCTTAGTCTCCTCTTTGCCACCTCACTCTCTTTCATCCTCCTCCGTTGTTTTCCATCCCAACCGCCTCTCTCACTACTACATCTCCCTCCCTCAGAGCCTGAGAAGGAAGACTTAATGAGGCATGCTGGTGGGGGCGGTGTCATTGGCAGCTTCTACGTCAACACATCGTCCACTGTGCTCAACAATGTAAGTGCTACTGATCCTGTAATAATGTTAAGATTACAAACACACCTACACACCAACACCAACACAGCCACATCACACCTACCACCACACAACACCTTCCACACACAATAAATCCATATAAGACTTTATTATCTAAATATTTATTATATTTTACTTAAAACTTCATCACACCCCTACCTTCATAAGCTCCTTGTTATATGCATATTATTCATATTTATATTATATTCTTATAATTATATATTAAATAATATTACATACATAAAATTATATCCTATATTATTTAACTCTATTTATCCTTTATTTATATAATAGAATATTATGCTTATCAATCCTAGTACTTACATCTTACATACTATTTATTAACTGCCACTAAAACTCGCAATTAGCAAACCTCATTTTAAATTAACATTTCTATACTTTTCCTCTATACCGTCATATAATTTTTTTCATTATGTTGCTGAAATTTATAACTTTCCCACCAAAAAGAACTTAGAAACTTACCTCAACCTATCATTTATTCCTCAATTACTATACCAAATCCTAGCTTCCCTATCTTTAATTTTAACAATACTAAATATCTCTCATCAACCAATGAATCTATCTTTTTTCATAAGGTTCCCATGATTTTGACGAAAATTATTGCTCACAAGTTTACTTGCCCTTGTTATGGCAGATCAACGTTTGCTATTTCCAAACGCAAATTGTGATATTCGGCACACTTATTATTCTTATATAAATATTTACATCTCTATAACTTCTTTTTTTCATATATACTTTACCCAGTGTGTGTATGGTACTTATATATATAATATTATATACTTTGGTATGGTTTGTGTACACTTACAATATATACCATATTTTTCGTGTACACTTCACAAACAATGTACCTTCAGTCAACTAATATTACTGTTTTCTCTGGTTTTGTTAGTCAGGAATTGCCTGTTTGGAGACAGACTTACTCCTAAGGGAGAGAACAGCACCCCTGGCGTCAGTGGACTCTCTGGGACGGTGCTCTACGCCCTCCTCCGTCTGCACCAGTGGCTCTAAGACTGCCTCCTCCACAAGGTCTTCCCGTGCCTCCTCCTCTACTGTGGCTCTCAATCCAGACTACCTAGCAAAGGACCCAGACTACCTTACCAAGAATCCCGAGTTCCTGACTAGAGAACAGAAGCACATAGCTCCAAGCGATCCTGCTATTCACCTCCACAAGGAGAGCTCTGTTTAGCTTCAAGCGGCTGAGAACATGAACATCAGCAAAAACAACATTAAGCTTCAGTACGAAAGCAAAAATAGTTTCTGGAAAATCCTCAACATTAATCATGGCAAAAGCATGAAATAAACTACAACATACATATATATACACACCAGGACTTTCGGTGACATGTGAAAGCCTAGCGTTGCGATGGTAAACTCCTGTTGTTACAAACTTTATCTAATTTGAATCTCTGCGCGAGGTGCAATTCTGTACAGAGAAAATAAGTTTATTGCTTGCCACACAAAACAATGACAGAGTGTTACACAGTGTGACAAGTTCTCTGTATTGTGACAATGATTTAGTCTCCAACACTTTAAGTTGTAAAGGTAGATCTTAGTGAGACATAGAACTTCGAAGTAGAACAGACATAAGGCTTCTTGCACTTACCGAAACATTCTTGTGAGCTCTTGATGAGGACTCCACTTTTAAGAGCTTAAACTCTTCAGATGTTTACTTCAGTTTATATAGTTGCAGTGATACGAATAATTGTTAATTAAAGAGAGGGTATGTGTAATTGCTATTATGATAGAGCCGCTACGAGTGTAGCTCTTCACGTGTATAATCCTCGTAAAGTGTGGGTGATGAATCAAGCTCAACAACTCAAGTTCTTCAGCCACAGAAAATAAAGTATCAGAAAGTCTTAGAGGGGATTATGATACAAGGTTAACTAGATTTCCAGTACTGATAATAAACGTAGCAAAACCAGTGGTATAAATCCCCTCTAAAGACTTTACCGATGAACAAATTGCCTGTTAAACTTAATTCATGAACAACGTTAACAAGGAAATGCAGCAATTTATTGACTCTTTATGGTATAAATTCCTTTGGGGGAATTGTAAAGCATATCATTGAAAATAAGTGTTTAATGAAGTGTCTGTAAGCCATTTAATTTAATAAAAGGTTAGTGTTTTCCTGTGCCTTTTGAAGTGAAACTAACATCGGATATTAACTGGGGAACAGTTTCGTTATAGATGAAATAACTGATTTTACCGAGGCAAGATGTGGTTGGAACTAAATATAAATCTTGTTTTAAAAATTTGTCAATAGTCTGCAGTAAGTTAGTCAAACTCTGTCTCTGTCTGTCTGTTTGTCTCTCTCTCTCTCTCTCTCTCTCTCTCTCTCTCTCTCTCTCCCTGGATATATACAGCGAGAGGTGTGTATTTCTCAGTGTATATACACAGTTTACTCCGACTCCTAATTTACGGACTGAAGATACTTTGACTGGTGATAAACAAGTCACATGACCTGGTAATGATCCTCGTGTATTCCATAAACATAAAAAAGGGCTAACATATGATTAAAAAAAAAACCATAAGACCAGATACCAACTAGGTAAGTCACCGTGTGAGGCGAGTAGGAGTCCATCTCCCGGCCTGACAGGAACCTGTCTCTGTCTGACTAATTAAACAGCCACTTCTGGTTATCACATCTATGACAATGGTGAGTCAAGACAAAACAAAATAATCAGGTGATATATATTCGTTATGTCTAGGCGTATTACATACATATATATGTCGTGCCGAAAAGGTAAAACTTGCGATTTTGGCTTAAATAGCAACGCTCTTATTGCCAAATAAGGCAATCGAAAATTTGTGTATGCAATAATTTCGTAAAAATCATTCCGAACCTAACGAAAAAAAATATTCAATTATTCGATATATATATATAATAATTATATATATATATATATATATAATAATATATATATATATATATAATAATATAATATGAAAGTTTTTCTTTTTTAGGCCACCCTACTTTGGTGCTAAACGGCCGATGTGTTAATAAAAAAAATATGTATATATCTTTTATTAACACATCGGCCAATTCCTACTAAGGGAGGGTGGCCCGAATAAGAAAAACTTTCACCATCATTCACTCCATCACTGTCTTGTCAGAGGTGCGCTTACACTACAGTTATAAAACTGCAACATTAACACCCCTCCTTCAGAGTGCAGACACTGTACTTCTCATCTCCAGGACTCAAGTCCGGTCTGCCGGTTTCCCTGAATCCCTTCATAAATGTTACCTTGCTTACACAGCACGTCAAGTTCTAAAAACCATTTGTTTCCATTCGTTCCTAACACATTCATGAATGGGTGCTGGAAGTCCAAGCCCCTCGCACACAAAACCTCCTTTACCCCTTCCCTCAAACCTTTCCTAGGCCGACCTCTAACCCACCTTTCCTCCACTAGAGATTTATGCACTCTCGAAGTCATTTTTTTTTTTGTTCTTTCCATTCTACATGTCTGAACCACCTCAACAACCCCTCCTCAGCCCTCTGGAGAATAGGTTTGGTAATCCCTCACCTCCTCCTAATTTCCAAACTACGAATTCCCTGCATTGTTTTCGCACAACACATTGGCATCAGGTACAACAACTCCACTGCCTCCAGCCTTCTCCTTGTTGCAACATTCACCACCCATGCTTTGCACCCATATAAAAGCGTTGGTACAACTATACCCTCATATATTCTTTCTCTCCACAAACTCCTCAGTGCACCACTCACCTTTTTCCCCTCGTCAATTTTATGATTCACCTCATCGTCCACTCCAAAATATCTGAATACATTCACCTCCTACATACTCTCTCCCTCCAATCTGATATCCACTCTTTCGTTACCTAACTCTTTTGCTATCCTCATCACCTTATTCTTTCCTATATTCACTTTTAATTTTCTTCTTTTACATACCCTACCAAACTCATCCACCAATCTCTGCAACTTCTCTTCAGAATCTCCCAGAAGCACAGTGTCATCAGCAAAGAGCAACTGCGACAACTCCCACTTTGTGCTAGATTCTTTATCTTTTAACCCCCACACCTCTTGCCAACACCCTAGCATTCACTTCTCTTACAACCCCATCTATAAATATATTGAACAACCACGGTGACATCACACATCCTTGTCTAAGGCCTACTTTTACTGGGAAATAATCTCCCTCTCTCCTACATACTCTAACCTGAGCCTCACTATCCTCGTAAAAACTTTATATAATATATATATATATATATATATATATAATATATATATATATATATATATATATATTATACAACAGAGTAATGGTAATTTTTCACATTAAGGATAATGTGGGAAATCACGAGACCATTCGACTTTTCTTCATGTTGGTGCATCTCCCTGTGAACTAAAAAAAATAGATGGAGAAATCATGCCCATTGCAGATGTCAGCTGAAGTTGAGGTCTTAGATGAGCGTCGCCCACGAGTGAAAAACTCTCGGAACTCATCAAAGGTATATCAGAGGTAAGGTCACGTTGAAGAGTGGTTCAGTAAGGGAGTTCTTAAAGAAAATTCATGGAATGTTGGTACAGGGGAATTTGTTTTATAACTCCTTGTTGTACCAGTGTTCAGTATGACTTACGTCCACTGGTGAACCACGTAAGTCATGCTGCAGTAGTGGCCAGCATGACTTACCTGAATCTTACCTAAACACGCAAGGCATCTTTAAGTAAGATTCCTCAGGAAACAGGACAAGTGTTTCCTGACGCGAGTCTTAGTCATACTGATGACCCACCACTGGAGCTTTTGGTCATCTGACCAAGGCCTTCCACTGGCTTACCACCGATCCAGCCCTTTAAAAATTAAGATTAGTTATTATAAAGTGGTAATTGGCAAGATATTATGATTTATATTTTTATCAAACATTTTGGAACCCGATTAATTTATATTTTACGACAAATACACCGTTAAAGATCATTCTTGTAAGGTATTATAACAGTATTACCGACAGGTTGTTAGGTAAGACACATATGCAACAGTTAGGTATCTTTATTATGAAACGTTTCGCCTACACAGTAGGCTTCTTCAGTCGAGTACAGAAAAGTTGATAGAAGCAGAAGATACTTGAAGACGATGTAATCATTCCATCACCCTTAAAGTTTTGAGGTGGTCAGTCCCTCAGTCTGGAGAAGAGTATTGTTCCATAGTATGTCACTTCATCTCCATATTGTTTCAGACTGTGGAACAGTACTCTTCTCCAGACTGAGGGACTGACCACCTCAAAACTTAAAGGGTGATGGAATGATTACATCGTCTTCAAGTCTCTTCTGCTTCTATCAACTTTTCTGTACTCGACTGAAGAAGCCTACTGTGTAGGCGAAACGTTTCATAATAAAGATACCTAACTGTTGCATATGTGTCTTACCTAACAACCTGTCGGTATTTTATACCATTTTAATGTTCAGTACTTCCAGTGTTGAATATCCCATAAATAATAGTTTCCTCTTGTGAATGTATGAAAATACAACGAAGGGAGTGTTGAAGGGAGAGACGCAGCTCTTGTCCTCCACAATAAATCCCTCAATGGAATATATTGTTATAGTATTCACGAGGAAAGACTTCAGTGAACCACATTCAAGTTTTATTGCTGGACATATTGTTTAAGGAAACGTGGGAGATAATGGAAGCGGTGGATCACCTAGAAAGACATAGAGTTTTTACTGACAAGTAAGCAGAGATTTAGATCATGTAAATCTTGTCCCAGAAACCAATTTGAGGTTTAGGAAATGATGAAAGATTTTGAGGCGGAAATAGATGAATGGGGAATATCAAATCGATTCAGCGGAGAAGGGTTTTGAAAGGGGAGGTGAAAATACGGGAGAATGAGTTGAGCAGGGTGCATGCTAGACAGGTGCATTCAGAAAATGGAGAATTGAAAATAGCGAGAAGATGAAATCTTTCAGACAAAACCAGATGAGGCAGAAACAAAAATAACACGAGATAGTCAAGAATGCTGATGCACATCAAAATGGTATACAATACCGACAGGTTGTTAGGTAAGACACATATGCAACAGTTAGACAACTTTATTCCGAAACGTTTCGCCTACACAGTAGGCTTCTTCAGTCTGTATTCGACTGAAGAAGCCCTATTGTGTAGGCGAAACGTTTCGGAATAAAGTTGTCTAACTGTTGCATATGTGTCTTACCTAACAATGCTGATGCAATTAAACATCCACTACAAACAGCAAGTCATACAGACAAATCTGTGATATAATAACGATAAAAAACACTGAGAGGAACTGATAGGATGGACAGATTGTTTTAGAGGCGGATGGGAAAAACAAGCACAAGAGTACAGCTGTAGGTTTTAAACGCAGATGAGTAACAGGGAAGTTATGAAGTATATATTAAGCTGTACTGTGTTCAGAAAGTGGAATGACCAAAACAGTGAAGAGGGAGACGCAGGATCCATACATTCTCTCTCTCTCTCTCTCTCTCTCTCTCTCTCTCTCTCTCTCTCTCTCTCTCTCTCTCTCTCTCTCTCTCTCTTTTTTTTTTTTTTTCTTACACAGGGTTTGACAAGGTTAAGGATCCCTAGCTTTATTGACAAGCTATTTACAGGTTAAGGATTCCTAACTTTATTGGCAAGCTAAGAGCTGTTACCTACATCAGCTCATTTGAAAGCATTTTTATTGTTATGAGACATACAAGTAGGGAACAGGATGAAGTTGGAGCCATCTGTGGGCCAGCATTTTCATTTGATCAACTGACTTTATCTCGTTGACATCATTATGCTGTACGAATGTGTTCCATACTCGAGTCATCCTGGGTATATAGGATCTCAGATGGAGTGATGTTCTGGAGAAGGGTACAGCCAGAGTGAAGTTGCTGCTTTCTGCCCGTCTTGTGGCATAAAAGCTTGTTTCACGCTGTCCTCGAAGTGGATCCAAGTGTGGTACTTTGACAATATTGGCCTTGTACATAACAGTAAGGCCACCCACATCCCTCCTATGTTGAAGGCTCTGCTGGAATGACAGATCTATCCAGGATGGGTCCAGGCGAGAGATGAGACGTTCTTGCTCTGTTCTCTACTCTGTCAAGCAGTCGCAGATGAGAGGGGGGGGCAGGCAAACCAAGAAAGTGGAGCATTTGTAGATGAATGGTTCAGAG